GGAAATCGAGGAGAAATTGGGGCCGTCGGGTTGGGTTGGGGTGGTTTGGTGGGTGGTGACTTCCCCCACCCGCGCCTTCCCAGCCGTCCCTGCTCCCCCTCGCCTGCCCCTCCCCCGCCCTCGCGCCGAGGCCAGGAGGGCCCGCCGAGGACGCCCGGGAGCGTCCTCGCACCCTGAACCTCGAGTCTCAAGTCGGGCGTATCCCCCTGCAGGGGGAACTTCGACGAACAATGAATATATATATATATATATATGTGTGTGTATGTATGTATACACAAAAACAACAATAATAACAATAATAATAATAATAAAAATAATAATAATAATGATAATAATAGCAATAATGATAATAATAATAATGATAATAATAATAATAATAAGGAAGAATACATTCATATACACATATATGTATATATATATATTGTTTTTTTTATTAAATAATATTTCAAAAAAAAAATGTTTGAATGTTCCCCCTGTAGAGGGACAGGCCCGACTCAACTCGAGTCTCGAGCCTGTCCTTGTCCCCGGGTGCGACGTCTCGAAAACAAGTGGGCCATCGTGAGCAATCACGACCGCAGCCCTAGCCCCCCATCCTCCTGCGCCACGTTCCGCGCCGGATCGATATGTATAAATATATATATATATATATACATCTATATATATATATATATATATATATATTCAGGTCGGGCGTGTCCCCCCTACCGGCGGATTTTGGACGACAAATTAAGAACACAATGTTCAAAACTGGTCCCAAAATCGTCCCCACAATGTTCAAAAATGGCGGAAGAATGCCCCAGAATGTTTAAAAAGGGTCCTAAAATCCTCCCCGCACTATTTTTTCTGCCGTGTTTGAAGATTTCCCCTTGCAGAGGGACGGGCCCGACGCGACGACATGCGAGGGCACTGGGGCCCGCAGCTGGGCGAGAGCGACCCGGCCCGAACAGAAAAATGGAGCGCCGGAAGGGTCCCATGGGGCGTGCCCAGACCCACGATGCGTCATGATCTTGTTGGTGGTGAGCGTTTTTGTTTTTACTCGGCGTTTCGGCATTGTGACAGGGGGGCCCGGGGACACACAAATCCATAGACACAAATATAGCATGATCCCCCATGTGTTTCCATATTTTCTGGGTTGCCGTCTTCCCCCCCCCCCACTTCCCACATCCCACCAGCCCTGTGGGCGTCGGTGGTTTAGAGATTTTTCTCTTCCATCCCTCCTTCTGTCCCTTCGGGGAGGGGTTTACCCCTCCCCTTACCCCCTCCCCGTGGACCTGGGCGGGGGGGGGCCGCGAGCGGTCAGAGCGTCCAAAACGGCCTCGGCGAGGAAGCCAAAATCATTGATTTTACTTGGGTTTGGGCCTCCTGGGGGGGGCGAGGCTAATTGAAGCTCCGCTCTTCTTTGATAGATCTCCTCCAAGATGGCCCCAAGAAGCGCCCAGGAGGCCCCAAGAGGTCCCAAGATGGCCCCAAGATGGCCCCAAGAGGCCCCCAAGAGGCCCCCAGGAGGCCCTAAGAAGACCCTCAGCGGCCCCAAGAGCCCCCCCCACCCGAGGTACCCAAGACCCCGAAGAGCCCCCCAGGATCGCCAAGAGACCCCAAAGACGTCCCAAAAGGCCACCAAGAATCGCCAAAGAGATACCCCAAGAGGCTCCGAGAGGCATCCAAGAGACCTCTGGCCCTTGTGCTTGCCCTCCTCCTCCTCCTCCTGCTGTTCATCCTTCCTGCTCCTACTCCTTCTCTTCTTCCTCCTCCTCCTCCTCCTCCTCCTCCTCCTCCTCCTCCTCCGCATCCTCCTCATCCTATTCATCCTCCTTCTTCCCACTCCATCATCCATCCATCCATCCACCTCCTCCTTCTCCTCCTCACTCCTTTGCACGGTTCGGCTGTCCTCCTCTTTGCTACCGCACTTGCCTATCACCTTAACTCGCCTGGACAAAGTTTCTGGATGGGCTGGTGGGGATTTTACAGCCGCGGGCGGGAGCGCCAGCGGCGGCGAGTAACGGTCGGGCTGCGGCCGAAACTAATTGGCCGGACGCGCGCGCGGGCCGCGGCCGGCGCCGGGGCGGCGGGCGCAAGGGTGCTGCAACCCAGGGTGTCTGACGCCCAGGGACCAGCACCCAGGGAGTCTGCAACTACGCTGCCAAAATGGCGCGATGCAAATAACCCCAAGGTGTCTGAGACCATGGCCCAGCAGTACGCAGCTTGAGACACTATCGAAGTATGGAGCCTGCCAACCTCGGCGCAGCGAATGGTGCACCATAGAGCCCCAGGGTGTCTGAACCATGCTCAAGCAGAGGCGTCAGAGAGACACGCACGCTGTCGCCTGACTGCAAATCGTGGGGAGAGGTGGGACTCTGACAGCGCCAGCGAACCGTCGCAGCTTCAGAGTACGCACCAACGCGGCCAAAAGGCGCGAAGTTCGTGGTGTCTGTAACCGAGCAAGGCACGTCAGGACCGGGAAGACAACCGCGAACAGAGATGCGTCCGCAAGCGAGCCATCAGGTAATATGATGTGGCGCTATGCGGAAGGTACAGCTGTCCCGATCTTCTACCAGGCACAAGTCGCAGGCGACTAGCGACCAAAGATACGAGCAGGAACGCGTACCAGGGAACATCTAACGTGACAAGCATGCACAGAGCCACGCCTATCCTTGGTACCCTGGCGTACCGGGGTGAAGTGTAAGGGGGTGGGGATACGCGAAGCGTCTAGAATTTTCCCACATTTTCTGGGGAATCGACGATTAATTGCGTCTGTGTGTGTTTTCCCCTCCTGACATTGGGCGGACAGGGGAAGAGGGGGTCTGGCCCCGACCTCTGCTCCGCGTTGGCGGTGGTGGGGGTCCTGGGAGGGGAGGCTCCACCTGCTCGAAACAGAAGGCCAGAAGAGGCCAAGAGCTACTCCACGGGGGGGGGGGGGTTGGAGGGCCCGCGCCGAGCGGCAAAACAAACAATGAAACAAACTTTTTGATCCGCGGGTCGAGAGCGCACCTCTTCCGGTCGAAGCGAAGCGGGCCGCGCGAAGCTGGAATGAATCAGAGACGGGGGAGGGAAAGGGGGGCGCAGCCCCAGAACGAGGCCGGGAGGGGGCAACGCCTCGGAATCGGGCGGTGCCGAAGCCGACGCACTTGCCAAGGAGAGCCGAACAGAATGAAACAAACGATCGCTTTCCACGGCGCGGACCCCCAGTGGTCTCGGCCCGCTCCCCGAAGCCAGGGCTTCCTATCCCGAGCCGCTGTTTCTGGCGACGGCCCCGAGAGGCACGGCGAGGGCCCCTGTGACGGCCGAAAACAGCGAGAGGACTCTCCCGCCCCGAGTTTCTCGTGCCTCGCGTGGGGGGCCTGTCGGGAGCGGCCAAGAGGGGGGGTCCAAGAGGGGGGGGGTGCAAATCATGACCGGCGGCACGTGCGCGGCCCAGCGGGGAGGCCAGGGACGTAATGGAATAAGAAGAGGCGCCATGAAATCTGGGGAAGTATCATGGCCCCCGCCATGATATCCACCCCCCCCTAGCCATCACCCCCCTCTTTTCCGCCACCGAGTCTGGGTGCGAGGGTCCTACGCTGCGTCGGCCGGGACGACGGCCGAGCAAGCTCGAGGATCTGCTGACCCGGGTCGATCCGAACCCGGGCCAGTCAGGCGGTGTAGGATTCTGCAAGATCCTGCAGGATCCTGCACCCGAGCCCGGGTCGGTGCTCCCCTGGCCCTGCAGGATCTTGCAAGATCTGGCGCTCTGGCTGACCCCCGCCCCTCGCCCCCATTCTTCCAGACCTTCCGCGCTGACCTTCCACGCCCCTGCGCTTCGTGAAGCGCTGAGTTCTCTTGAGCTTCCGGAGGCTTTCTCAATAGTTTCAATGCATCACCTTCCGCGCCTTCCGCGGACGTCGAAAGTATGGAAGGTGGACACAGAGATCCGACTTCGTGACTATTTCAATGCGGGGCCTCCGGAAAAACTCGACCCATTCCCCAGGACCGGTTCTTAATCCTGAGTCGTGTTTTGACGCTCCCGAGGCCCGGCGAGGGCCCCTCGGGGTCGAAGTCTGCGAACGACCTCCGTCTTGAGTCTTGGTTCTTCCGATGCGTTGGATCTCTGGGGAGGTGGCGGGGTTTGCGTTGACCCCCCGTCTCTTGCGCCCTTAGCTGCCCCGATACGCAACACGCAGCACGCAGCGTATTGCCACGGAGCTGAACGCGCAGGCTAGAAAAGTAGGCCCGACGCGATCCGTCCGCCAAATCGTGGCCCGGTACGTGGAGCCAACACGCAACGTATCGACACGGACGTCCTGAGCACGGGACGCATGGCGCACCAAAGCGGGCGCAGCGAGGCAGCTGAGCGCCGCGCCCCGAAAGGCTCCCGCAGCCCCGCGGCCGGGGCGCCCTCCGGATCGCCGCTGCTGCTGGGAGGCACGCGGGCTCGGCGCGCCGCCAGGGCCGGTCGCGTCGGCCGCGCCGCCCCAGGGGGGGAGGGCGAGGAGGAGGAGGAGGAGGAGGAGGAGGAGGAGGAGGAGGAGGAGGCGGAGGAGGCGGAGGAGGCGGAGGCCGAGGAGGAGGGGAGCGAGGAGGAGGAGGCGGAGGAGGAGGCGGAGGAGGCGGCGGAGGAGGAGGAGGAGGGCGAGTGAATGGCACAGGGGAGCCAAATCGGGGCGGGAGGAGGAGGAGGAGGAGGCCTTCGGAGGTGCTGGCAGATAGTTCCTCACTCGGAAGTTTCGGGGTGGGGGTCCAGAGCGGGCGGACTGAAGGAGAAGGATGAATTGCTTGGCGTTGCTAGGCAATGCTTGGCAACCCTTCGCATTGCGTGGCAATTCCTGGCATTGCATGGAACCTGGGCGAGGAACCCGAGGAACGCCGTGGAGCCAAAGCAAGGAACAAGCCCAAGGAACCAGAGGAACCCTGGGAACTGTAACGAGGAACCCAATCAAGGAATCAGCACAAGCAGCCAGAAGAATCCAGGGGAAGGCCTCTGACAATTGACTCCAGACCCGATTGGTTTCACAACGAGTAAGAGCCCCATAGGCAAAATGAGGAATGGTCTCTATCTTGCGTCTCCGCCTCTGCAGGAGGCCGAGGGGGAAGGAGGCCAAGGAGGAGTAGACGAAGAACGGGGAGCCCTCTCAGGTCGAGAACAACCCCTGGGGATTCTCCTCGAAGTAGCCGGCGAACGCGACGTCGCTCTCCTGCACCGAGACCTCCATCTTCGTCACGGCGCTCAGGCCCACACCGTCGAAGCTCATCAGGTCGTCGTGGTGCTCTTTCAGGCCCTCGTACATGCGCTTGAAGACGGCGTGGGCGACGACCTCGACGGTCGTGTTGCGCCGAGGGCTCTGGAACTCCTCGAGCTCGTCCAGGTTCTTATGGTCGTACGCGGCCATGGCGCCGCGCAGCAGCCGCTGCGCCTCGGAGATGTCCAGCAGCACGCTGTCCACGCCCAGCTCCCTGCCGTGTACCCTCACCTGCACCTCCGGCGCGGGGCGGGGAGCGAACCCCTTCGGCGGCGAGCCCCTTCCGCGACGGCCACCCCCTCTCTCTCCCACGGGCCCCGCGACCGGCAGGCCTGAGCTGAGCCGAGCCGCGGCACACGTGCCACCCCGCAGTGGCCGGTAAGAGTGGAGGGGGCGGGCGCGGGGTGGGTCGCGGGTGGGTCGCGGGCGGGTCGAGGGTGAGGACGACGACAACAGCAACAATCACATTTGTACTGTTCGCTCTTACCACGTATATACCAAGCGTATATACCAAACCCTCATTACCTGCCCTCTTCGACTTTGCTCGTGCCCGCTTGGGGGTTTACATCTATATATATATATATACATACATACACACATACATATATATATATATATATATATATATATATATATACATACATATATATGTGTGTGTGTCTTAACTGCAACGTGTATTTCGCGCAAAGGCAGGGGAAGAAAGCATGGATGGGAAGAAGGGACAAGGGGCAGGCAGGTTGCTGAAGCGTGCGTCCTGCATGAATCGCAAGGAGGTCTCGAGCGATAGCGCGATTTCCAAGTAAATCGCGTGGGCATGCACAGCAAGAGCATGATTCCTGAGTGTCGAGGGTGCGGCGTCTGAATAAATTATTACGAGGTCCCACGCGAGAGCGCGATTCTTGTATAACGTGTGAGGAAGTCCAGCGCGAGAACGCGATTTGAAAATCAATTGTGAGGAAGTATCAGGCGGGAGTCGTTGTTGTTGTTGTTGTTGTTACTCGGGGGCCAGGGGCCAATTGTGTGACCCCTCACTCCCCCTTGTAAAAAGCAAGGTGCGAGCCCCGGGAGAAGCACTTCAGTTGAAAAACAGAGTGTGCCCCGAAGGGGGGATCAACCATGATTATTTTTGAGAGATGAGAACTCAACACCAACAACAACAATAATAATTTTCAGACTTTTCGCTCCTATCTGCTCACGTGCCAATCAACACGCGTATATCCCACACCATCTGTACCCGCCCTCGTCGTCTTCGATCGTACCCCCTATGGGGCATATCTTCCTTACCTGCCACGTGCATTTAGCGCAAGAGAAGACGGGTGGAAGGGGGAGGGAGAAGAATGGAACACGAGAAAAATTAGCACGAGGGGGACAAGGAGCAGAAAACAACTGGCAGAACCAGACGGGCAGATCGGGTGGGCAGAGTCATCGCAGATTGGTCAAGAAGGCGGGCCCAGGCGACCAGGTCGAGCGGGTGGGTTGCTGAAGCGTGGGCCCTGCATGAATCGCGAGGAAGGCTCGAGCGATAGCGCGGTTCCCAAGTAAATCGTCAGAAAAGCCAAAGCGAGAGCGTGATTCCTGGGCGCCGAGGGCGCATCGTCGGCATAAACGGCAAGGAAAACCCACGCGAGAGCGCGACTCGTATACGAAATGTGAGGAAGTTCCGCGCGAGAGCGCGATGTCGGAATACATAGTGGAGAAGTATCAGGCGGGTGCCGTTGTTGTAAACCGGGGGCCAACAACACAGTTTGAGCCCCATGACCTTCCCTGATAATAGAACAAGGTGAGAGCCCCGAGGGAAACACTTCAATTGATAAAGTACAATGGTCACCGGAGGCAGGGACTCACAATACATATTATTCAGTAGTGAGAATTCAACAACAAGACCAACAACAACAGCGACGACGACGAAAACAACAACAATCATTTTAAGACTGTTCGCTCTTGCAGTCAACCCGTATCATAAGGATGCGCGGTAAGGATGCAAATGCCTTGGAAGGCCATGCCGACTCTTTGCAGCCAGGGTGCGGCCAGCGAAAGCGGCCAAGGATGGGACGAAAAAGAAATATGCAAAGGTACCCTTGGGAAGGTTCCCCATCCTTACTATGCGGGTTGACTGTTTCTGTTCGCGGGCCATTCAGCACGTATATCCCAAAACCTCGATACCCGCCCTCTTCGTCTTCGATTGTACCCCCTTGGGGGTACATATCTTTCTTACCTGCAACGTGTATTTCGTGCAGCCTCGAAGGCAGGGGAAGAGAGAACGGATGAAGGAAGGGGCAAAGGAGAGGACGGAGGATGGAGCACGAGAGAGAGAGTAGCAAGAGGGAAGCTAGGAGCAGAAAGCACGTGGCAGAACCAGAGGGGAAGATAGGGCGGGTAGACCCTAAGAGGCGGGTCGGGAAGGCGGGCCCAGGCGGCCAGGTCGAGCAGGCGGGTTGCTGAAGCGTACGTCCTGCATGAATCGCGAGGAAGTCTCGAGCGATAGCGCGGTTCCCAAGTAAATATTGAGGACATCCACAGCGAGAGCGTCACTCCTGAGGGGAATCCACAGCGGGATCAAGCCGGATTAAACAGGACTCTGGAGGATCAGGCCAGTCACTTGTCGACCACGGCGATATAGAAGCGCCGAAGCTGAACTCAATCTCTCCCAGAAGCTGCATCTGAAGGCTCGATGGCCCCAGGGCCAGATAACGGGCCGCCCCTGCTTGCCATCGTTCGGACGCCCATTCTCCTTGCATCTGTCGGTTTCGTGCGAGCTCGTTTTAGCCAGATGGTCGATGCTGCTCCTCGCTGGAAAGAAGCACACAACCCGACACTCACCGGAACGCTCTCGGCGAGGCGCCGCTGTTGTAAAGCCTCCCGATGCGAGAACACCCAGATAACCGACATCACGAACAAAAGCGCAACTTCGTAGCAAAAATCCGACCAGCGCCCTGGACGCTGCATTTTCCAAGCCTGATCGATCCGTGAGGGTGAATGTCCCTGGGCCCGAAGCACGGCAGCATCGCCCCTTGTAAAAACAATGCGACGTCAGGACCCCGGGGAGAAACCGCTGCTGGAAAGCATCCCGATGCGAGAACACCTCCAAAGACATGCCAAAACCCCCTCTCGTCAGAGATCTGGGAGCCCGCAGCCCACGCAAACCCCTCGAAACGTGGCCCGCCGCAAGTCGGGACCCAATCCAGCAGGACTGGGGTTTCAGCCCGAATAGATTCCTCACGGCGAGGCCCGACGGGCCCCCCCCCGATGCAGACATTTCTGTACAAGAATGAATGAATATATCTATAAATCTGTATATACACGGCAGGCTCGTGTCGTGGCGACCCTGGCGCTGGTTACTGACACCGCGTCGCTCGCTCAACCTTGAACGATCGGCGGCTTGCCGATCGGCCGAGCGTTCCATGTAGGCCGATTCTGGGCCAATGGCGGCGTTCAACCTTGAACGCCCGCGACGGGGTCGCCGCTGGTCGACACGACGCGAACCTACCGTGTATGTATATATAGACAACCTCTAATAGATGTATTTATATATAGAGACATGCATGTTACATAAATGTATATATACACATAGCTCGCACCTTGAACATCGAGGTCGGAGCGTCCGACTAAGACTAGAAGGGCGCTCGGGAGTGGTCAACAGGGGCCTTTGTCGCCCTGCGGATGGCGTAGACACGTCGGGCTCTGTCCTCTTCTGAGACGAGGGGGCCAGGATCAGGAGCCGTGCGCACAACATTGTACATGTGATAAGCACTTACAATCCGCTCAACCTCTCCAGGGGTCGGTGCCCCAGCGAGGCGAAGAAGAGTGGCGACGCGCGAAGGGGGCACGGCGGGGCGGCATACAAGGCCCTACACAACTGGACAACGCACGCAATGAGACATGCCACCCCGGCAACAAACACAAAATAATCTACAGCCTCGAACCTCGGAGCTATGAAGACGCGCACTCGCGAGCCAGGCCCCGCCCGCGGTTTATAGAACCGCGCCTTGCCATGAGGGCGGGCCACCATCCTTTACTAGGTCCCTGAGGGGAGCCCAATTCTGGACATCAAAAGCAACATTCCAGGAGGCGAGGCGTTTCGAAATCGCGCCCTGCACAGCATCTGGGAAGAGAGACAATCGAAGGGAGGGGAAGAGAAGCCTCTGGACACGCACCCTCTCTGGCTCAGTCTGGCCCTCGAAGGCGGCAGGGGCGCCGGCGGAAGCCTCGGAGAGCTCGCGGGCGCCGAACTGGCCGAGCGAGGCCGCCTCCACGTGCTGGACCAGAGGCTGCGAGCGCCAGGAGATCGGCGATAGGCGCCCGCCCCCGGTCACAGCCAGGGCGCCGCACCCCCCCACCAGCGCCTTGAGCTTGGCCAGGAGCGGCCTCCAGTTCGCGGGGGTCGAGCACGCCGCCCGCGTGCGAGACGCCATGCTGAGCGCCATCATGCTGATGGGGCGCAGCGCTGACCACGCAGCAAGGCCCACGATGGCGCGCTTCGGGAGCGACCGAGGAGGGAGGCGCCAGACTTTGCGCCACGACCATGCCTCTCTTCGGCGCAGCGAGGGCGGCACAGGCGCGAGCTGCACGACGTGGCCCAACACCGAAAGCACCCTCGAATAGTAGATGACCGCGGGGAGCGCTGGGGCCCCAGCGCGAGCGAGTTCACGGGCTCGGTGGATCCGTTTAGCCCCAGGCTTCCACCACAGGATGTCTGGGGCAGCCTCTGGCCCCAGCGTGGCCCCGAGGTGCTCGGCGACGGGCGCGACGCCCATGGATCGCCAAGCAGGCAGCGCATCCGCGAGCCAACTGGGAGCGGCATCAGCGAGCTCAGGGCTGAAGGAGCCGCTGAGGGGGATGACCTAGCACTTGCGGAGCTTCATGCAGAGCACCGCAAGGACCTCGGCCGTTCTGAAGACGCGACAGAGCCGCAGCAAAATGCCGCGGTCTTGCACAACGAACCCACATCGTCCGCGCAGACCCCGAGCGCCGAGGAGGCAAAGGAGCTGATGATGGTCTCCATGTTTATCACGAACGGGTTTATGGCGACGGCCCACAACGACCTGCTGAGCGGGCACCCCTGGGCGATGCCAGCGATGAAGCGCATGAAGTGCGCGAGGACACCCTCGGCGGCGACGCAGGCAGCAGGCAGCCAGCGCATGCCCACGGTGAGCTGGAAGATGCCCCCATCGAAGCCCGCGCGCAGGAGGGTGGCCTGAAGGAACGAGACCGCGAGCGACGGGAAGGCGTTCCCGAAGTCGAAGAGGACCATGAATGGCTGCGTGGCGTCTGTATTCTCGGAGAGGCCGACGATGCGGGCAAAGGTGTCCAGCGCCGTGATGTTGTCCAGGAAGTTGCGGCCAGGGAGGAATCCTCGCTGCGCCGCCGGCGAGGAGCGCTCGATCGGGAACTTGATCTGGTCGTTGCATCTGGCGGCGAGCAGCTTCACGTCGCTGTTCTTGAGCACCAGCGGCCGAGTAGTCGCAGGAGCACGGGCGGGGCCCAGGGCGAGGTCCGCCTCTCCGAGCGGCAGGAAGGCCACGAGGTGGTCGTTGAGGCCCATCGGCGGCAGGAAGCCCTGGGCGATCTCAACCCCCGCGGCAGCAAGGTCCTCCAACGGCTTCGAGCAGCCGCACCTGCTCCAGGCGCCATATGGCAGGCCATCTGGCCCAGGCGCAGATGGTCGCGCACGCTCGGCAGCTCGACCAAGGTCATGGACATCAGGGAGACGAGCCTCTTGGAGGCCAGCAATGGGTACTGGATGCTCACTGAGGTATCGCTCGAGAAGCGAAGGCTGCCCATGAAGCGGACGCTGGAAGACGGGGGCCCGGAGGGAGCGGAGCTCGCGCAGAATGTCTGACTGGGCTTTGACCGCCCGATCCCCCCCGTCAGCATCTGGGAGACGAAGCCCTTGAAGCTCGAGAGCGCGCGAGAGCGGAGACCGCAAAGCCGCGCGGCGACGCGGGGGGCGACGCATCGCGTTGGCGCGCCGAAATGAGCCCCCGTCAAGAGGTAGCGCACGGGCGCGCTGGTCAAACTGGGCCTCGCGACGATCACTGCATGCACGCTGCGCGGCAGCGAAGTCGGTCTCGAACGCGGCCGCATCCCGCAGGGAGACGATGCCCCGGTGCCCCGCACTGCGGTACTCGATGAGCACGTGGGAGGCTGCGAGCTGGGAGGTGGCGGCGAGCCTCTCCGCCAGCAGGACATCAGCACGCCAGGCGGTCCTCGCGATGGAGCGGAAAAGAAGCAGCTTGGCGTCGCACTCGTGAGAGTGCGCCTTGAACAGACGGTCGCGACCACGCCTAGCCGCCTCCTTCATGAGACGCTAGTGCTCGCTCCTGCGCTGGCAGGTGGTGAGCGAGTCCCAGTTGACGCGCTTGGACAACAACGCGCACTGCACGGGGCACTCGAGGCCCCTGAAGATGCGCCGAGGGATGGGTTGAGCATCGCCACGGAGTGGGGGTCGGGCGGCAATCGCGATGACGAGCGGGGCATGATCGCTGAGGCCTTGCTCGTGGAGGCGCCCAGGGAAGTCGCGAGTAGTAGCCGTGATGTGCCATTGGATGCTGAGCCAACTGGTCGTCGCGAGGAACGCCCTTTCGATCTGGGTAAGCTTGGGAGGGGGGTCCTCCTGGGTGCTGAAATGAGCGGGGAGCTCGTTGTCAAGCACGACCAGTTCGTTGAAGAGGGCCTGCCAGCGATGTTCCAGAGGGCGCGGGGCAGCACGGAGTTGGACGAGGCCCTTGTTGAGGAGCGGGGTGTGCGTGGGGAGCGGTGGGGCCGAGAAGAGATTGAAGTCCCCGATGAGGAGGAGGGCGACGCCAGGTCTCTGTGAAAGCGGGCGGCGATCATATCAATGTCCCCCGCACTGAGCCCGAAGTTCTGGACGTTGTAGATGACGCGCGAGGGGGCAGGCGTGGCGAAAGGGCGGTTGAGACCCGGAGACAAGGAGACGCTGGACGCGGCCCGCGACGAGGGTCTCGCGCGAGAAGCGACACGCGTCCTCGTGGGCGAAGAGGCCAGGGGGAAGAATGGCGGCGCCCCCAGTGTCTCGCCTGTCCCCGAAGTTAGGGAAGGCCCGCACCTGGAGATGATGATCACGCAATTTCTGGAAGAGCTCGAGCTCGGCGCCGTGGTCTGCTGCTTGAGGTAGGAGGAAAGGCAGGCGACCTTCCGATCACGCACCTGCTGATCGCGATGAAGGAGCGCACGCGCGTTCCATGATCCGAAGGCGACGCAGTCACGGCGCTCAGAGGGTGCCCGCCAAGGGACAAAGCGATTGTTAAACAAAATAATGGATGCGATCAACTCCGCCGAAGATCTCGTCAAGAGCCCGTTTGAAACTGTCTTTGTCCAACTGAGCGTCAGACACAGCGCGATAGTTCCACTCCAAAATGGTGGGGTCCTCCGCAGTCGAGCCGATCACGATCTTGATGACGGGCTTGCTGCCGTCGCTGATGACGCCTGCGCGACGATTGGCACGCCAGCGGCCCGCCGCCCCAGAGCTGCGGACCAGCTCGAGGAGGCGCTTGGTCTGGATCTCGCGGCGGATGGTCTGGGGGGACTTGTCCAGCCCGGTGAAGATGCTGACATCGTTGCCATCGACCGAGGGCGCGGAGAAGCGCCTCCAGGTGCCGTCCTTCCTGAGCTTCCTGAAGGCTGCCGTGACCCTGCGAGCAGCGAGGCCGCCGGCGCCGCGCATGCGAATGAGGAGACGCCTGCCAGGCGAGGGGCCCTCAACGGACCACTGCGAGTCGTCCAGCTCGGCGTCCGTGAGCCACGGTCGGACGCTGGCGAGGACGGCCTCGTGCGTGACAGCCTCTTTCGCCGAGACCACGACGACGGACTTGTCCACATCCCTGGTCCAGTCCGCGATGTCCCCGATGTTCTGGATCGGCGGGGCAGCTTCGCAGACGGCCATAGTCTTCTTCAGCAAGGCGAGCTGCTCGCGCATCTCGCGGTGCTCCCTGGAGGGCTTGGAGACGGACTGGTCGAGGTCCCTGAGGTGGCCGTCGATCCGCGCGTTCTTGGCTTCCTGGCGCCCCCCGAACAGTCGCAGCGCGCTGGTGCTACTGCTAGTGATGGAGAGCGTGAGCGCGTCATTGGACCTCTGCACCGCGCCCACGATCTCGCCCCGCATGGCGCCGAGGATGTCCTCCAGCTCCGAACGCAGGACGGGGGCGTCCGACCCACGAGCTCCAGCCCCCGCGCGAGGGCCAGGCGACCGAGGGACCCGAGGACCAGGGGCGCTGCGCGGGGTCGCAGGCTGCGAGGCCACAGGAGTAGAGGTAGCAGCACGGTCATCGTCACCCCGTCGCTGCCAAGGGTCGGCGCCGCTCTGGAAAGGGTCGTCGGCGCCCGCGCTCCTGCTGCGGTCGTCGTCCTCTCCACGAGGGCTGCCACGACGCCGAGAGCCACCAGCGCCAGGAGCCTTGCCATGCCGACGCGATTGAGAGGCATCCCCATCAGGCATTCCCCCCGCAGGAAAGAATCGCGAGGGGAACGCGGCGATGTCGAAGGGCGTGGGGGATGAAACCTCAATACAGCACTGTGGCAGTGAAGATGGTGTGTGCCAAAAGACGCACCGCGGGGTCGTTCAGAACTGTGGTCGGTGTGGGCCGCGACTCCCACGGGCAAGCCTGAGCGATACACTCCGGACTTGAGCCAAAATGGCTACGGACATGTGTATTTGTATCCGCCGGCACCCTTGCGGGGCCACCAGGCTGTAGGCGCGGGTTCGCAGTTTCCAGTACCAGTTGTAGCTGGTAGTTTCCAGTGTTACAATTCTGCTTCTTGCTGGCTACTGTAACTAATTCACTGACCGCGCGAGGGGGGGGAGGCCCAAACGGGACTTTTAGCACCCCCTGGGCGCGTTGTCTGAATTGCTGGGGGGGCTCGAAATCGCACCCCTCACGCAGATCCGCAGGGTCAGGGTCCAAAAACACAAGGGATTTGCCACATTTCTGAAATTCGGTGCCACCCCTCACGCAGATCCGCTGGGTCAGGGTCCAAAAACACAGGGGATTTGCCACATTTCTGAAATTCCGTGCCACCCCTCACACAGATCCGCGGGGTCAGGGTCCAAAAACACAGGGGATTTGCCACATTTCTGAATTCGGTGCCACCCCTCACGCAGATCCGCGGGGTCAGGGTTCAAAAACAGAAGGGATTTGCCACATTTCTGAAATTCGGTGCCACCCTTCAAGCAGATCCGCGGGGTCAGGGTCCAAAAACACAAGGGATTTGCCACATTTCTGAAAAATTCGGTGCCACCCCTCACGCAGATCCGCAGGGTCAGGGTCCAAAAACATAGGGGATTTGCCACATGTCTGAAATTCGGTGCCACCCCTCACGCAGATCCGCGGGGTCAGGGTCCAAAAACACAGGGGATTTGCCACATTTCTGAAATTCGGTGCCACCCCTCACGCAGATCCGCGGGGTCAGGGTCCAAAAACACATGGGATTTGCCACATTTCTGAAATTCGGTGCCACCCCTCACGCAGATCCGCGGGGTCAGGGTCCAAAAACACAGGGATTTGCCACATTTCTGAAATTCGGTGCCACCCCTCACGCAGATCCGCGGGGTCAGGGTCCAAAAACATAGGGGATTTGCCACATTTCTGAAATTCGGTGCCACCCCTCACGCACATCCATCGCAAGGCGTGGTAACCCAAGCTGCGAGTACTCCCTCGGCCCTTTAATCCCAAGGTGTGGTAACCAAGCTCGTAAACCATACACGTCTTACCAATCGCCCTGTGTGGTAACCCCTCTTGTGATCAGTTGGTTTTGCCGATTGCGAATCGGCCTCGAATGAAGTTCCGATACTGCTGCACGACAGCGCCAAAGCCTCATGACTTAGCTCTTCCATGGCCCATTCTCCGAGGGAGGGGGCCGGCGGCAGGGGGCGAAGCCCTTACGGATAGATATACACATATATGTATGCCAATATACACACAACAAAAAGCTCCCGTCGTGATCTTCGTCAGAACGCGAGGGGGCCTGGTCGTAACTCAAGTCTCTGGCGGTCGCTCGGGACGATCCTGGCACCCCTGGAGGACCCTTGGCGAGGCGCAGCTGCAGGGAAGCTCCTCGGGGCTGGGAGACCGCCGAGAACCAGCGAAGACATCCGAAAACCTCAGACACCGAACCTCGAGACTTTGTCCGCGACGCGAGGGGGGCTGGAGGGAGCCAGCATGCAGGGGCGGGCACCACGGCCGTGCAGCCCGTCGTGAACGGCTCCTTCCCGCCGAAGCGGAAGGTGTGCGAGTACATGCACCGGTCCTGCACGCCGATGTGGAACCCTGAGCTCGCCGCGCGCGCCCCCAGCACCCGCAGCCCGGCGGACGGCGCAGCGGCTGGGGGCCTCGGTGGACGAGTGGGACCTGCACGACTTTTCCCCGGGACCGTAGGCGACCCGAGGTGGAGGAGGAGGAGGAGGAGGAGGTGGAGGAGGGGGAGGGAGGAGGAGAAGATGGAGGAAATGGAGGAGGAGGAGGAGAGGAGGAGGGGTGGGGAGGAGGAGGAGAAGGAGGAGATGGAGGAGGAGGAGGAGGAGAAGGAGGAGAAGGAGGAGAAGGAGAAGGAGAAGGGGGAGGAGGAGGAGGAGGAGGAGGAGCAGGAGGAGGAGGAGGAGGAGGAGCAGGAGGAGGAGGAGGAGGAGGAGGTCCAGGAGGACGGGTCGCCTAAGCCCTTTGGAGAAACCCTCCAGTCCGGGGCTCTGGCCGAGTGGTTCTGTTCGGATGCTGCATCTTTCGTAGACGTCGGACCCGAGGGAGCAAGGGGGCCATCCCTGAGATCCTGGCATCGCAAGCCAGATGTCCGAAGATGTATGGTTTTCAATCCTTGCATTTTCCCTTTGTCATGGTCAGACCCTGGGGACACGAAAACTGGAGCCGGTGCGCACAAAACTGATCATAGGATCATAAGGGAGAGCCCTACTGTAAATGTTTAGTTGCTCTGCCGCATGCATCCTATGAATTTGGTGGGGTGACAACGACACGCAGAAAACAAGTCGAGCTCGTGATATGACCAGCCAAACTGACCAAGCCTGCCTGGCTGGCCCGGTGGTTCTGGCCGGCTCTGGCCGGCTCTGGCCGCCACCGGCCCGTGCTGCTTCGGCCTGCACCCCCGAGGCCGAGGCTTCAGCTTGAAATCACGGTGTCCCCAGACCGACGCTCCGATCTGCGAGAAAGCTGCTCCTATTTGGACACCCGAAAATCTCGAGACCCCCAAAGGGAACTCCACAGTCTGAAGCAACACAAAACGGATTGACGAACGGGCAATGACAAATTCAAAAACGACACACTTAACATTGAAAAAACACAGGACGCCCAAATGGAACTCCACAGTCTGAAACAACACAAAGCGGATTGAAGAACGGGCGATGACAAATCCAAAAACGACACACTTCTTAACAGTGAAGAAACACTGGTTTCAAATTGAACCGTCGGCCTCTTCGGTTCCACGTTGCGGGGTCGCAAAGGCAGACCTGCATTGGCTTCGTACCCCTGGATAAGCCGAAACCCGGAACCGGGAACCCGGGAACCCAGCCGGCCACCAGCATCGGCGAGAAACGTTCGCCAAGTCTTTCAACTTCCGCCAGGGCCCCTTCAGTGCAACCACTGATGGGGGAAAAAGGTCCTGAGGGAAACGGGTCCTGGACCCCGGGGCCTCGCTCGCACCAGGACCAAAACTCTTCCTCTGGAGCTGCTTCTCGACAGCCCCGGGCCCCCGTGGAGGGCGAGAGGCCGAACGTGGTGAGGCCCCTGTCGTCTGGACTTGTTCAATACGCTGGAGCTTAGTGGGCCCTGGAAACGACAGGGCATTTTTTTTTTTGTTGCCAAATCCGGTCTGCCGTTTTTTTGCCGGTTTCGTTATGCTGTTTTTTTGCCGGTTCCGTCGCCGTTCTTTGACCGCTTCCGGCCCCGGCTAGCCGTTGTTTTGCCGTTTCCGGCCGCCGTTTTTGTTGCCGTTTCCATTTTCAAGGGACATTTTTCTCGGGGATGGACAGGACCTCCCTGCAGTAAAACATGGTTTAGTGAAAACGACCTGAGGCCCAAACCTGGCGGGCGCAAGCCTGGAAAATAGCGGCCACGGCGCCCTCCCGAGAACCGAAAACGGACAATTCACTGATCGACGTGTCACTGTTGGGGGTTCTGTCCACCCCCGATGGAAAAACGGCCCTGCCGTTTCCGGGCCCCACAGAGCGCTGGCGCGGCCTGGGCTCTCCAGCCATGCCTCCGGCCTCCTGGCGGCCGCACGAGACGATGCCAGCCGCCCTCGGCGAGGCGCGGCTGCTGGAAAGCATCCCGAGGCGAGGAAACCCTCCAGACCCAATGTAAAGGTCCCCCCCCCCAAAAAAACACCCTGGAAACTAACTAGATCGTTTGCTGGGGACCCGTTTTCCTCATGGCCGCGCTCCCTCACGGCGGTCCTCGAACCTCGGGTCCCTCCTGCGGCCACTCGGGACCGTGCGGGCAGCCACGGAACGCCGTCGACAAGGCGCCGCTGCTGGAACGCGATCCCCGAGCAAGAAAATCCATAGAGAATCGGTCCTCGGTGAAGCGTTCTCTGAGATCCGACGTTACGAGAAAATGCAGCATCGCAACAGAAAGTCGACCATAATCCTGGACCCCATCTTTCTGCGGCACACCCGATCGATCGGTGAGGAGGGTCCTGGGGCCCCAAACGAGGCCAAACCGCCCGTTGAACAAAAATTGCGACGCCAGGATCTCAGGGGCCTCCTCCTCCTCCTCCTCCTCCTGCTCCTCACCGTCCTCCACTTCCTAGGTCACTCGATGCTCGGGTCATAACTCAGGCCTCTGGCGGCCGCTCGGGACGATCTGGGCACCCCGGCACGCCCGCGGCGAAGCGCAGCTGCCGAACCGCGCCCCGAGGCTGGAAAACTGGCCAGAACCTCCGAGAAAAACCTTCGAACAGATTGGAATGCGAATGCCTTCGAACATCCTCGCTCTCCTCCCCCTCCTCCCCGACGACGACGACGACGACGACGACAACGACGACGACCACTTTCCCCTCCGAGGGGCCGGCCCAGCGCCGCCGCGCCCCCGCCGCTCCGCAGGCGCGCCGCGCGGCAGGGCGCGCCGCTGCGCAGCTGCGCGCCGCGCGCCCGCGCGGCGGCGCGCATGGCCGCGCGCACGGCGCCGCGCGCAGGGCGCGACGGCGCGGCGGCGCGGGTGGCGCGGCGGCGCGGGCGCCACGCTGCGAGCCGCGGTGGCCGCTGCGCGGGGCGGCGGCGGCGCCGCCGCCGACGACCGACGCCGCCGCCGCCGCCGGACGGGCCGCCGCCGCTGGGCGCAGTGCGCCGGCGCCGCCGCCCGGCGGCGCTCTTGCTTCGTCGCCGTCGTCCGGCGTCTTGCGCCGAGGGCCCGCGGGCCACAGAGGGGAAGCCGCCGCGCCCACGAGCTCAAGAAGACGAAGCGAGTGGGGCGCAAGCTGGGGTGCATATACTGGGACGAGCTTCCTGTCCCGCTCCGCCCCCCCGCCCCCCCCCCTGCCCTGCTCCCTCCCGCCCCGAGACCCCCGTTCCCAGAGGGCGGCGGGGCTTCTCAGGAGCCCTCGCGCCTTCTGAGCCTTCCGAAAAGGCCCGCCCCCTCTCACTTCCCACCTGAGCGCGCCGCCGATCCTACCCTGCCCACCAAGCCCCAGAGCGCTCCCCCGCCACCCGTCCCTCCTCCTCCTCCTCCCCCTCCTCCTCCTCCTCCTCCTCCTCCTCCTTGGTCATTCGCGTCGTCGTCCCAGATCGTCGTCCTCGTCGTCGTCCCTGCGAGAAGCCTCCGCCGAACACCTCCGAGGGCCGACGGGAACTCCCCGCGCAGGCGCGCGGGCGCAACGCACCGCGTGGGGCGCGCGCGGCGCAGCTTCGATCTGCTTCCAGTAGTTGGCCTGCACGAGCCTCGCGGCAACCGCGGCGGCGGCCGCGCGCGGCCCACTGCGCCGCTTCTCCCCTCTTCCCGCTCCTCCTGCTCGACATCATTGTCTTCTTCCTCCTCCTCCTCCTCCTCCTCCTCTCCTCCTCCTCCTCCCTCCCCTCCCCCTCATCATCCTCCTCCTTCCTCCTCCTCCACTCCTCCGCCTCCTCCTCCTCTTCCTCCTCCTCCTCCCCTCCCCCTCCTGCTCCTCCTCCTCTCCTCCTCCTCCTGCTCCTGCTCTGCTCCTGCTCCTGCTCATGTTCCCTCTCCTCCTCCTCCTGCTCCTCCTCCTCTTCCTCCTCCTCTTCCTCCTACTCCTCCAATCGTCCTCCTCTCCTCCTCCTCCTCCTCCGCCTCCTCTTCCCCCCCCCTCCTCCTCGTCCGCCTCATCGTCGTCTTCGATGTTCCTCCTGAACAACATCCTCCTTCTCCTACTATTATTCCTGCTCCTCCTCCTCATCCTCTTCCTCCTTCTCATCCTGCTCCTCCTCCTCATCATCATCATCATCATCAGCAGCAGCAGCCGTATCAGCAGTATCAGCATAATCATCATCATTATCATCATCATCATCAGCATCAGCATCATCATCATCATCATCATCAACATCATCATCATCATCATCATCATCATCATCATCATCATCATCATCATCATCATCATCATCAGTATCATCATCGTCATCATCACCATCCTCATCCTCATCCTCATCCTCATCATCCTCATCATCCTCATCATCCTCATCAGCATCATCATCAGCATCAGCATCAGCATCAACATCATCATCATCGTCGTCATCATCATCAGCATCAGCATCAGCATCTGCGTCATCATGACCAGCACCATCCTCATCATCAGCATCATCATCATCATCATCATCAGTTTCATCATCAGCAGCAGCAGCATCAGCATCAGCATCAGCATCAGCATTAGCATCAGCATCGTCAGCATCATCGTCATCATCATCAGCATCATCATCATCAGCAGCATCATCATCGCTATCGGCATCATCACTCTCCTCCTCGAATCCTCCCCTCCGCCCGCAAGAGGGGAGTGAGAAGGGATGGGGCAAGAGAGGAGGGAGAAGGGATGGGGGCGGCGGGGGGATGGGAGTAAGGCTTCGGGATGGGAGTAAGGCTGTTCCCCGCCGCACCACCAGACGTGTCGCTGGGGCGGGCAAGGCGTTGCGCCGAACAGCCCCTCCGAATGTATATAGCCCCGAAACCTAACATTCCTGCCCACCAAATTGTACGGATGGAGCCGATGTGGCTTTCGATATTGGGCTCTCACCGTGGCGCCGCGCGCACTCACTCTAGAACATCCTAGCTGGTACAAGGATGGGAGGCGGCACCTATTTTGAATGGGGCTCGGCATGGAGTCGCGCACACTCGTCTCAAAAGACAAGAATCACGCGGATGGAGGACGGTTCACTTTCAGAGTGAGACTCCCGCGTGCGCCCTTTTTACGGACCCTGTGGCCCGAAGTCAAACCATGTGCAACTATTCCACGGAAACGGGGTGGTCTCGTATGCCACTTGGGTTGTCGCTTGAGGCCCCCTCGGGGTGTCCGACAAAAAGGTCTAACATGGGGTAGTCCGTGTACGAACGGAGCCACGCCCTTTTCAACACTGAACACTGAACTATCGCTGAGCACTTCCCTGAACTGCCGGGCCCTGCCTCTGTGCACCTCCTACGGCCGGAAGAACGGCAGGAGATCAACTACAAAACGGGGTGTCGCCCGAATGGCACGCCCCCCACGGCGTTCGCCTGACAAGGGGGAACACTTCCGCTGTGGGCAAGAAATATGCTTACGGACTCGTCGGGTGGACGGGAGGGTGCACCACAGCACCGCGGATGCACCCTGGGTTCACCCTGGTGTCACATCCTCCCGATCCTCCTCCCGATCCTCCTGATCGTCATCATCATCATCATCATCACCACCACCACCATCATCATCAGCATCATCATCAGCATCATCATCAGCATCAAAATAATAATAATAATAACAATAAAAATAATGATAATAATAATAATAATGATAATAACAATAATCATAATAAAAACATAAATGCAATAATAATAATAATAATAATTATGCTAACGGAGTTCCCCACATAAAGAGATTAACGGTTTCGTGGGACCCATTTTCTTGATGCCCTCCTCGCTTTGGCGGGGCCCCGCTGGAAGGGGGGAGGGCTACGAAACCTGGCGAAGAGTAATGCTTTCCGCGACCCTCCTCGTTCAAGCGCGGCCTCTCTGGAGGAATGGAGGGGGGACACGAAACCGTGTAAACAGCATGTTTTCCGATACCCTCCAGGAAGAGGAGGAGGAGGAGGAGGAGGAGGAGGAGGAGGAGGAGGAGGAAGAGATAAGATGGATGATGGCGAAGAGCAGCAACAGGAACCGCAGCAGGAGCAGCAGCGGGAGGTTGGTTTGAGTGGTCTCATTTTCCTCGTGAGGTCCGATTCGTGAGGTTGGTCTGAGTGGTCTCATTTCCCTCGTCCAGTCGAGGTTATACAAGAGTGTGGGCGACACGAGTTCGCTAGACGAAAGCACTTGCCGAGGTGTCTGGTAACTACAATTCGAACGCAGACACTGATCGGCCAAGCGCGGTTTAAAAGACTGCCAATAATCTCCTCCTCGCTCAGGCGGGGCCTCCCTGCAGGGGTGGGAGGGGCACGAAACCATGTAAATAGTATGGTTTTCGGATACCCTCCTCGCTCAGGCGGGGCCTCCCTGGAGAGGTGGGAGGGGCACGAAACCATGTAAATAGTATGGTTTTCGGATACCCTCCTCGCTCAGGCGGGGCCTCCCTGGAGGTGTGGGAGGGGCACGAAACCATGTAAATAGTATGGTTTTGCCTCCCTGGAGAGGTGGGATGGGGCACGAAACCATGTAACTAGTATGGTTTTCGGATACCCTCCTCGTTCAGGCGGGGCCTCCCTGCAGGGGTGGGAAGGGGCACGAAACCATGTAAATAGTATAGTTTTCTGATACCCTCCTCGCTCAGGCGGGGCCCCCCCTGGAGAGGTGGGAGGGGCACGAAACCATGTAAATAATAGTGTTTTCGGATACCCTCCTCGCTCAGGCGGGGCTCCCTGGAGGTGCGGGGAAACCATGTAAATAGTATGGTTTTCGGATACCCTCCTCGCTCAGGCTGGGAAGGGTGGGAGGGGCACGAAACCATGTAAATAGTATGGTTTTCGATACCCTCCTCGCTCAGGCGGGGCCTCCCTGGAGGGGTGGGAGGGGCACGAAACCATGTAAATAGTATGGTTTCCGATACCCTCCTCGCTCAGGCGGGGCCTCCCTGGAGGGGTGGGAGGGGCACGAAACCATGTAAATAGTATGGTATTCCGATACCCTCCTCGCTCAGGCGGGGCCTCCCTGGAGGGGTGGGAGGGGCACGAAACCATGTACATAGTATGGTTTTCCGATACCCTCCTCGCTCAGGCGGGGCCCCCCTGGAGGGGTGGGAGGGGCACGACACCATGTAAATAGTATGGTTTTCAGACACTTTCCTCGCTCAGGCGGGGCCTCCCTGGAGGGATGGGAGGGGCACGAAACCATGTAACTAGTATGGTTTTCGGATACCCTCCTCGCTCAGGCGGGGCCTCCCTGGAGGAGCACGAAACCATGTAAATAGTATGGTTTTCGGATACCCTCCTCGCTCAGGCGGGGCCTCCCTGGAGAGGTGGGAGGGGCACGAAACCATGTAAATAGTATGGTGTTCGGATACCCTCCTCGCTCAGGCGGGGCCTCACTGGAGGTGTGGGAGGGGCACGAAACCATGTAAATAGTATGGTTTTCGGATACCCTCCTCGCTCAGGCGGGGCCTCCCTGGAAGGGTGGGAGGGGCACGAAACCATGTAAATAGTATGGTTTTCCGATACCCTCCTCGCTCAAGCGGGGCCTCCCTGGAGGGGTGGGAGGGGCACGAAACCGTGTAAGTAGTATGGTTTTCGGTATGGAGTGGTATGGAATGGTATGGTAGGTATGGCATGGTACGGTATGATATGATATGGTATGGTATGGTATTGGAGGTATGATATGGTATGGTACGGTGTGGCATTGGTGTGATATGGTATGGTATGCTATGGTACGCCATGGTATGGTATGGTACGGTATGGTACGTATGGTGTGGTATGGTATGGTATGGTATGGTATGGTATGTGTGGTAGGAACTATGGTATGGTATGGTGTGTGGTAGGAATAATATTGTGATGTATGGAAGATGGAGCGGGAGGTGGGTGGGAAGGAGAGGGTGTTCTGGGAAAACAAGAACCCCACTCAGGATGTGGGGAATAATGATAA